GCCCATCACAATGCCCAGCTTTTTTTTTTTCTTGAGACAGAGTCTCACTATGTCACCCTCTGTAGGGTGCTGTGGCGTCACAGCTCACAGCAACCTCAAACTCTTGGGCTTAAGGAATTCTCTTGTCTCAGCCTCCCAAGTAGCTTGGACTCACAGGCACCTCCCACAACATGCAGCTATTTTTTTTGTTGCAGTTGTCATTGTTGTTTAACTGGCCCATGCTGCATTTAAACCTTCCAGCCTTGGTGCATGTGGCCTGGTCTCAAACTTGTAAGCTCAAGTGATCTGCCCGCCTCAGCCTCCCAGAGCGCTGGGATTACAGGTTTGAGCCACCTCACCTGGCATCTCGCATTTTTTAAATTAAAAAAAAAAAAAAGGTTTTAGAGACAGGGTCTCACTCTGTTGCTCAGGCTGGATTCCAGTGGTGCAATCACCATAACCTTGAACTCCTGCCTCAGACTCCCAGGCATAGGAGCTATACTCAGCTAATTATAAACTTTTTTTGTAGAAATAGGGTCTCAATATGTTGTTCAGGCTGGTATTGAACTCCTGGCTTCAAGCAATCCTGCCTTGGCCTCCCAAAGCTCTGGGATTACAGGCATGAATTACTGCACTCAGCCTGTCTTCTAATATTGAATGTTGCTGTGTAGGAATCTAACTTAGTCAAAAATTTCTCTTATAGTTGACTGTGATGGTTAATTTTATGTATCACCTTGACTAGGTTAAGGGATATCCAGAAGGCTGGTAAAACATTATTTTTGAGAATGTCTGTGAAGATGTTTCTAGAAGGATTAACATTTGAATCAGTAGACTATGTGAAGAGGATTCACTGTCACTAATGTGGGCAGGTGTCATCTGTGTTGAGGACCCACCTTAACAGAACAAAAAGGCAGAGAAAAAATGAATTCTCTCTCACTTTTTGAATTGGGACATCCATCTTCTTCTTCCCTTGGGACATCAGAGCTTCTGGTCTTCAGACCTTTGGACTCTAGGAATCAACACCCACCCACCCCGTCGTCTCTTTTTTGTTGTTATTGTTGGGGATTCACTGAAGATACAAGAAACCAGGTTACACTGATTGCACTTGTTAGGTACTCCTGTCATCTCTCTCTCTCTCTTTTTTTTTTATTGTTGGGGATTCATTGAGGGTACAAGAAACCAGGTTACACTGATTGCATTTGTTAGGTACTCCTGTCATCTCTTTTTCAGGCCTCTGCCTTGGACTAGGAATTACCCTGTCAGCTTCCCTGGTTTTCAGGCCTTCAAACTCAGACTAAGAGAGTATTGTGGGATTTATTTGCCTTCATAATTGCATGAGCAAATTCACATAATGAGTAAATAAATAAAAATATAAATATATATCCTATTGGTTTTGTTTCTTTGGAGAACTCTAATACAGTGATTTAAGCCTTTTAGTTAAAATGCCTGATTCTGGGCTCGGCGCCTAT